AAATAATAAGGTGCATTTGATGAAAAAGTTATTCAACTTGAATACGACGAAAGGTGTCTCTGTTGCGCAACACCTGAATGATTTCTATACTATAAAAAATTAATTTTTGTCTGTTGCAATTGATTTTGATGATGAATTATGTGTGCTGATATTGTTGACTTCATTGTCAAATATCTGGAAAGCCATGAAGATGACAGCTAGCAGTTTTGCAGGCAAATATAAGTTGAAATATGATGATATTTGTGATTTAATTTTGGTTGAGGAGGTGTGTATGAAGGATTCTGGTAAGGCCTCGTGTTCAAGTTCGACGCTGAATGTTGATTCTAGAGGGAAATCACATGATAAAAACTCAAACAGAGGAAGATCAAAATCAAATTTTGGTCTACAGACAACCTGCTGGAATTGTGGCAAGGCTGACCACATAAAAAGAAACTGCAGGAATCATAAGAAGAAGAAAAATGATGGTGCTAATGTTGTAACTGAAGAAATATAGGATTTGTTATTACTGGCAGTTCACAGTTCTGTTGATGAGTAGATACTGGATTTAGGGGTTTCCTTCTATACATCTTCCAATCAGGAGTTAATGGGAAATTATGTTGCAGGCAGCTTTGGGAATGTATATCTGGCTGATGGAAAAGCTCTGAACGTAGTAAGGATGAGAGATGTTGATATTGCACTCCCTAACAAGAGCAAATGGACTTCGCAAAAGGTCCGTCACGTTCCTGAGTAGAAAAAAAAACCGCATCTCTATTGGGCAGCTCAATGAGGGTGGTCATTCGGTAGTGTTCTCAGATAGCACCTGGAAGGTTACTAAAGGAGCATTAGTGCTGGCTTAGAGTAAAAAAACTGACACAGTATATTTGACTACAGGTTTACTCAGGCATGGACACATGAGTCAGAGGTGCATTATGGGGAAGCAGAAGAATGTCAGTTTCCTGATAAGTGGCAGAGCGCCAAAAGCAGAAAAACCAGACCTTGTAAATGATGGAGAACCACAGAGCTATGAAGATATCTTGCAAGATAAGAATTCGAGCACGTGAGAGCTGACCAAGAAAGAAGAGACTGATTCCTTACTAGTGAATCAGACTTGGGAGTTGGCATAACTTCTACCAAGAAGGAAGACACTGCACAACCAGTGGATGTACCGGGTGAAGATTGCACTTAGTGGCAGTAAGAAGTACAAGACTAGACTTGTTGAAAAGGGCTTTCAGCAAGGTCAGGATATTGTTGGATGCAAAATTAGAGATTTTAAGGTGACAGATTAAAATCTCCAATTTGGTCCAGTTGATTGGAAGCTAATGTGAGAATGTTAACTCTCAGGCAAGAAAGAAGTGGGAGCTCTGGAGTGAGATGTTCTTTATACATCTTGAAACTCTAGAGACCAAACTCTAGATTAGTCAACGTGAGATGTTCTTTATACATCTTGAAACTCTAGAAGATGTTCTCTAGATTAGTCAACGTGAGATGTTCTTTATACATCTTGAAACTCTAGAAGATGTTCCCAAACCACAGAATTAGGGACCAAACTCTAGATTAGTTAATGTTCTTTATACACTTAAAAGAGGGTAAAGAATAGGATTGCTCCTATTTGACATAATACAATTATATATATATATATATATAT